GATGCAACTCGGGACACTGTAGCCAGATAGTTTAGAGAAGCATCACCTGCAAAATCAGATCATGAGCCCAAAACAGGAGAAGTGAACAGGAGGCAAGGGACAGGGAGGGAGAGCCTTGCCTTCTCCACTGTCATAAAGGTGGAGGCGAGAGAATGGGAGTGTTAGCCATTGGCCATGGTGTCACAGCTCCGTGAGGATTACGTTGGCCAGCTTCCGTGATGAAAATAGGCAGCTAACAGTGAGTTCCTCTTTGTAACAGAAAATAGTCAAAACAGCTTGAAAACCATTCATAATGAGAGCTCTGAGAACAGCCAATGCTACACAGACAGAGTGAATACTGTCATTAAGCGCTCTTTGGATGACAGTCCTAGCAGTTCATTATCCCGCATCACTGCATGGGGAGGGTGGTGGAGGAGAGAGAGGGGTGAGGGTTTTTTTAAATAATCCTTTTTTTCCTAAATTAATCCCCACTGTAAAGCAGAGCACCAAAGGAGCAGTACAAAGGCAGCATCATGCCTTGCCAGTGCCCTCTGAGGCTGGAGCGTGAGGTTCTTGCAAGAACCGATGCCACTAAAACACAATTCCAGCCTTGATTCTATTTAATTTGCTAATGGATTGTATTTATCTCTGTGCTTTCCCTCTTTTTTTTTTTTTTTTTTTTTTTTTAAGATATGGTTTCTGGGTGTATTTTCTTCCTCTGGAAATGCAAACAAAACTTTACTTTTAAGACCCTTGCTAACATTTCTGACTCACATTAGGCAGCAGCTCCAGCAGATGTCAGCTCCAGCAGATGTCAGCTCCAGCCTCACCCCCCTGGTTACCGTGAGTGATGCACCAGGTGCTGGGAGCCTTCTTCTCCATGCTGGGAGCCTTCTTCTCACACTTCATGCAGACTGCGACTTCTTCGTGTGGATGCAGGTGGGTGTCCCAGGCTGTGTCCCCAAAGCCTGTCCACATGGGGACTGCAGGGCAGGGGGGTAGCAAGAAGGAGCAGGTCCCCCAGCTCTTGTCCTGCAGTGGATCGAATCTGGTAGTTACCTGTGCTTAGTGAAGAGGTGCAGGATACCAAGCCTGGTATGGGCACAGGGCTGGCAGTGCTGTCCATGTTTGCAGACTGAGCCAAAGTGTATCCTGCCTAGGCTAGATGGGAACATCAACTGACGGTGTTTTATAATTAGCCTCCTTGTTTGAAGAAGAAATGGTTTGTTTTTGTCAGGGACAAGGTTATGATGCAAATTGGGTCTCCTGACCAGAAGTTTTTAGGATGTGAATATCCCCATATGCCCAGAGGAGACCTCTGTGCTCTTGCCTGGTCATAGGAGCCCAGCACCCTACCATTGCCATCCAAATTCACCAGAGCATCTCTCAGTCATCAGAAGGAACATAGACGACAGGGCTTGTTGAAACTTGTGCAAATATTTCCCTAGCCTGCCAGGTCACCTGGGCAGCTGTGATGAGTCACTGTAGTTGTGCTACAGCTCCCTGCGCTTCATCAGCATTATCTCCCCTTCATCTCCAGTATCTGGGGAAAGCATCATCATTTATTCCCGAGTCAGAATGCTGAATCTCTTCAATTCTGGCAACATTGCTGCATTAACAACCTTGTCACTATCCTGAAGCTGATAACCTCAGGCAGAGGTGTTCATTTTTTAAGTCATTGAGCAATGTCCTGTTTGCAACACCAGAACTACAAGATACCCTGGTACAAGCAGCCCTTTCCACCCCCCCCCAATCACTTGCCAAACCCTCCACCATTTGACCCAGCCTCACTCTCCTCTTCAGCCCTTGAAACAGATCCTGGTTAAGACCTGCTCAGCTGCAGGCCCTATTACAGCCCCCTCCTCATATGCTACAGTCTGGCATCACTGCTTGGCAGGGACTGTTGGAATGGTTTTATCATGACACCCAAAGCAGTACACTGCTTGTTCCCAAGTGTGGCACTGCTCTGGTTTAATGAGCTTTGGAGATGGCACTGGCAGCACAGCCCTGGCTGTTTGATGGTGGTCAGTGGGGCTAATTAATCCTGTGTGTGCCCAGAGCCCTGTGCCTGCCTGTGGTCCTGGCTGGGGCAATGCCAACAGCACGGCTGGGCTGCAGCTGAGATGTGAAACTGCCTTAAAGGGGCCAGCTCTTATCCACCTTTTCCTCTTGAATTGAGGCTAACATTGTTTCTTATCTCCAAGTCCAACTTCTTCTTTTGCAAAATAAAAAACTAAAAAGACAATTTTTGAAACAGCATCCAAGTGGGACTCTGTGACTTGCTCTGTGACGCCACCAGGCCCAGATTAGGATGCTCCTTGCTGGTAGCTGTGTCTACATCTGGCCTCCACAGAGATGGCAGTGACAAGGCTGGGGCTCCTCATCCCAGGGAGATGGGCCAATGTGCTTTGCACCACATCCCTCCTTAAATCCCCAAGGCACATGGACCCTTGGGGGTTAACTGTGCTGCCACCTTTGCTTCAGTGTTTCCCCCTTGGTTCCTCCAGCCCTTCGGAGTGTGTTGGTGCTGTGAAGCTGGAAGGAACTGCTTGAATGGCACTGATGTGTTTTTGTATTTGAAATTCAGAAAAGCAAGAGTTACTTAGATAGCTTTCCCTTTCCAGGAGGAAAGCCAGAGCTGGGACTGGCCTTTTCTTCCTCCTTCTTTCCCCTAAACCAAAACAAACCCAAGTTTTTAGCTGCTTCAGCAGCCTCTATGTCAGAAAGAGCCATGGTAAACGCCCTTTGCTTCATAAAACCGAGGAGGCACATCTGTCACCCTCCTTGACACAATTGGCTTGCCGTGTGTTGGCAGGGAGGAGGCACCTTCTGGGCACCAGGATTTTCTTGCAGTGGCAGCAATGAGTAGCAGTGATGGGTCAGCCCACAGCAGGAAGTGGCTCCCCTGCCTGTCCTCATCCTCATCCCTGTCCAGGCTGTGAGGGATGGGTGGCCTCAACATGGTGCTTTTGGCAGAGGGCAGGAGGCATTTAGGCAGAGTCACCACTACCCGTGAAAGCCCTCTCAGCAGAGGACCAGGCTCCCATCACCCCCGTGTCGGTGCAGGAGAGGGATGCAGTGAGGACGGGGATGGGTGCATGCGAGCCACACCTCTCTGGCTGAAATGGCCTGTGTCATCCATAGGAAGCACCAGGCCTGGTTTTCTAGATGTTTGCAGGATGTCTTCTCGTCCAGGAAAATAAATAAATGGATAAATAAGAATTGCTGGGCAAGATGTGGTGGCAGGGTGCCAATCCCAGCCCAGCCAATTCATTTGCAGTTCTCATTAATTTGGACTGACCTTTGCTCACATTTCCACCACGAGCACGTTCAAAACAAGGCAGACATTTAACTCTGTTTTGGGCAACGTTACTCTAATGTGGCTTTTTTTTGCATAGCTCTCTCTTTTATGGTAAGCAAATGTACTGCCAACTTTTCTCTTGCTATGTACACCAGCGAAGGGAACCAGATGCTTCGTGTTTTCCTCTGAAATGTATCTGAATGTTGTTTTTTGTTTAGTATTTTGGAGGGAGGGCTGGCTTACAGACAGCATTTCATAAATCCAGTCCTCACTGCACACTGTTTCCCAACTTATGGTGGGTCCTGGCTGTGGCTCCTGGCTGGATTTGCAGTCTCTCCTCACACAAAGTGGCAGCAGCCCCTGAGGTGCTGAGGGGACAATCCCCGGCTGTCCCACTCGCAGTTGGGCATGGTTGCCACCAGGGGAGACCCCCCTGGTGATGTGCAGTGAAAGGTGTGAAAGGTGTGGGGATGGGCAGGCTCATCTCACTGACTTCTTGCACAACTGAGTGTCTGCAGCTTGGCCACGTGCAATGGCCACGGCTCACAGGGAAGCTCTGGGATCAGCCCAGAGACATCTCAGGGGAAAAACCCCCAGTTCAGGGATGTGTTTTGCTGCTTGTGGGGAGCAGCATGTGTGAATTTGCCTGGTCTGTCTCTGGAAATGGAGGGGTTTCACTCATCATGCCCGAGGACACAGGGGCCACGTGTGGCTGCCTGTGCCCACCCCTCTTTGCTGTGTGGTTTAGAGCTGGTGTTCTGTGTGGTGGGGGCTGCTCCTCCTTCTGTCCATGCAGAGTCTGAGCTGTTGAAGCCCACCCAATAAATTCTTGATGTGCAAAAAAGTCAAGCAGTCTTGAGCAAGATTGTCAAAAATATCTGTGCCACCAGGGCACTTTTGGCCATTTTAAAAAATTCTTTCCCTCTACCTCCATTTGTACTTCTGCTGCTATTTTTATAATCACTCTTCTGCTTTCAACTGCTTATCTTCCTTAGCTTTCCCTCTTCTTTTCACACTTCAAGCCTTAAAATCTTTTCATCACTTTTTTTTTTTTTTTTTTTGGGGGGGGAGGGGGCTGATTGGGCTTCATTTCTTCTCCTCTGCCAGATTTATGTGAGTTGTCAAGTCCAGCAGCCGTTTGTCTCTGCCTGATGACAGACTTGCCTTCCCCCACTTCCCCCCGCCCCTCCCCAATCAGATTCATGGTTGTTCTTTAAGGCCCTTTAATATTTTAATGCTCTGACTATAAATTCCATTTTCTCTAAGCTTCAATCCTTCTGTGGGCCTTCCCATGGAGGGCCGGCTGCTGCCGCCCCCACCCCCTCTCGCCAGCGTGATTTGCAGTGTGTCACAGGCGGCGTTTGGGGTGGCTTTGCTCAGTGCACAGGAGCGGAGGGCAGGGGAGGGGAGCGTAGCAGGAATTCTCTTTTCCTTAAGCTCAAACGATCCTTCAAAACTTGACAGGAATTGACTTTTTTTTTTTTTTTGGCTTTCAAGACATGATTTGTTGTGGGCTTGTTGTGCTTTTTATTAAAATGCTCTCGTGGAGCGCTTAGAAAGGTTGGCTTTGCACAGCCCCAGCTTCCTTCTTTAATAAATGCAGCCTCGGCTTACAGTTTTTCCCTCTGATGTGTCAGCTGGGGGACTCGCTTTCCATCTCAAATACACCCAGACTGCTTAAATCATCCTTATTTCTCTCACAGGGAGAGAGACTTTTGCTCTCCAAAACTTTTCACGCCCTAAGTTAATAAAACTTCTCCACTGAAAGGGATGGATGTGACACTGTGCTGAGGATTTCATGGCCGAGCGCTGGATTATTGCTGTGGTGTAAAGGGCTCCCCAGCCTTGGTAAGCACATTGAATGTCTTCTTAAAATATGAGGTTGAAATGCATTTGGCAATAGCTATCCCTGAAAGCTGCTGGAAGAGCTCACCCCCTTTGCTGGTGAGGAATGCTTCCCAAGGGGGCTGCACAGCCCAGGTCTGCTGCTTTGTTGCTCCAGACAGCCCACTGGTGAGGTGCCCTGTGCTTTTGCTGAAGGCCACTCTGCTTGGGCATGTGCTTTGAGGGCTGGAAAGAGAGCTGGGCTGGAAGCCAGGGCAGAGTTACTCTGTATAAACACGAGAGACCAGGAGGGCAAAAATAGTGCTAGAAATTTTGACAGTGTTTGTAAAGAAGTCAACTCTGTTATTAAGCATGAAATTGGCAGCTGATCTGAAGGTGACAAAGCAGCCCTACACCATGCCAGGAGGGACCTGATAGGAAATTCAGAAAAACATCTGGGACAGGACAGCTATTTCCTCTAGATTGTAAACATTTAACCAAGGACATGTTAGCAAAGTCTTTTGCAGCAAACAGTCCTGAGCTACCAGCCTGCGCCGGCTCGTCCCGCAGCCCTCCGCCCACCGCAGCAGCACAAAGAAGCAGGGCTATATTTCTTCCCTTGATTTTTGGCACCAGGGCCAAGGCAGGGGTAGAGCTGCTGAGTGTTTAATTCAGTGCTTTCCATTTTAGATATTAGTGCTGCAACTGAATTATGATATAGGAGCCTAGAGAGGAATCATTCCCTCTCAACACATTCTGGATTAGTTATTTTCCTATTAAACTGCTTTAGACATGGTGAGTTTGTTGCCTCAGATGGGTCAGTGCATGTAACAGGAGTTGATAGGAAAGCCTAATCCTACCTGATCAGTGTGAGTGACAATAGGGACCTATTGAATTCCATGCAGATTTTGCTATAGACGTATACAGACCAACACTCAGTCACCCTCTGTATTTACATTACAGGGCTGTGCTGAGCAGACAAAGTAAGGCTGAAAGGACACAGCAGGGATCCAGCAGTGGTGGCACTGGCTGCAGGAGTCAGCGCTTGAGGGTTCACCAACAACTCTCATGGCCTGGTGGGTTTGGCCCATTTAGGGTGTAAAGTGGGAAGGTGTGAACTATCTCTGCTCAGCTACAGTAAATAGAGCAATCCAGCTTCCTCGGGGAGGGGCTGTGGGGAGAGAAGGTGCCTTTATGGGTGCTAGTAGTCATGGCCTGAGCCTGACAGTTATGGAGATGTAAAGGCAACATCCTGCAATAGACAGGCTCCTCATGGTCCATGCAGAGAGGAGGTGGGAGCACCAGCCTCCCTGCCTGCCAAAGTCACTCTCCATGGCTAAGCTGGCACCAGTTTTCACTGAATCCTGTTGGATGGTTGGTGACAGTGCCAGGCTCCAGGAGACAGAGGAGCTTTTCAGAGACACAGAAGAGAGTGAGGCGACGGGAGGCTCCACTTGCACCTGCCTGCAATTAATTAATTACGAATCCACTCATTAGCTCAGCCCCATGGCTCCCCTCACTGCCAAGCCCCCAGCTGTCCGGAGAGCAAGTCATTATTAGAAACGATTTCCTATTAAACTCAAAAGCAAAGGAATATTTCAAAGAAGAAGGGGCAAGGGAAACAGCAAGGGTGCACGCACGATTGCAATCAGCTCTTGAGGATGTGCTGGAGTGGTTGGATCCCCATCTTGCAGCAGCCTGAGAATGGTGAAATCGATTTCATTAGCCTGCTCAGCTCCTGATTAGTCTTGTGCCACATAAAACACCCCTGTGGCCCTCACAGTCCAGCCTCTGCTGGCAGTGAGTACCCGTGTGTGCATGGCAAATGCACCAAGACACCCCAGGTCTCACCCTGTCCTGCTGGCTGCAGAGCAGTGCCACCCAATTGCAATCCCACCTCGTGCTGAAAAAAAAACCCTGAAGATTTCAATTTCTTGAAGTATATGCCTGCCTCCCCTTGGTGCCCAAGAGGCAGCTGCAGCCCAGCTCGCAGGCTTTTAACCTCAGCCGGAGCACACATCTGCTTTGCCGCCCGTTTTCCTATTACCTGCTCTCTGCTCCTCGCGTTAGCAGAGGCTCATCTTAAACCGCAGTGATTTACAGGCGGTGCTACGGCAGGACAGGTCTGACACTGATTGAGTCGCTTATCTGCCGTCTCCGTCCTGCTCTCTGACAGCCTCTCCCCCAGGTATCAATCTGCACATCAGTTCTTTATTCCTGGGTGAGGGGAGAGCTGTCAAGGTTGCAGCTACACTGTCATCTTCATCTAAGCTGCCAGCCGCCCTTCATTGCTTAAAGACCCTCTTTAACACACAGGTGCTTTGGGAGGGGGCCACCGTGTTGGAGACAGCAGCAAAATTTCATTTGCTCTCAAGGTGCTCGGGGCTTGATTGATTGGCTCTCATTTGTCAGGGTACCCATACATAAATAAGAGTTTCCAAGCTGTAGGTTCAGCCCCACTGCTTCTCCCTTCTGCAGCCCCTGCAGCACGAGTTGGCAGGGTGTTAGGACCCCTGTGAGACACGAGGTTCCCTTGTGGGGCCACCATCAGGGCGGTGAGACAGAGCAGAGGGAGGGTAGAGAAGAAAAGTATGCAGAGCCAGGCTTAGCACTGGGGTTTGCTAGGAGTCCCCACTGTCTTGTGCTACCCAAGGATGGGGGTGAAGCAGAACTGCAGAAAACCACTCCATCCCAGTCACTGTCCCCCTTTGCAGGTCCATGGAAACAGGACAGGGATATATGCCTGGATACCAGCACCTGCACCCTGGTGAGTGGACAGACTGGTACAGGCTGACCCCCACTGTGTGCACTTTAGTTCCAAATGATGTTTTTCTTAGCCTAAACCAGCACTCCTCTCTGGGATTGCTGGCAGCACTGGGCAGTGGCACATGGTGAGAAGAAGGGACCTGCGTCCACTAGTGGGTTTGCTCTCAGGTGCTGCTCTTAGGCCAGAGGAGCTTCCAGATGTCCCCAGCTCTGAGAGGCTGTGTTAAAGCCCCACATCACCTTGATCTGAGAGGCAGCCTGGGATGGGCAGTGAGCAGCAAAGGAGAGCAGTGGGCATGGCGCTGTGTGCCTCCAGCGGTGCCTTGTTTTGTTGGGGTTTCTGCCACTCACAGCCCTCTCAGTTTGGGTTCCTTGTTGCTGCTTTTTCATGAATAAAAAAGCCACTGAAACATAATCTCTACCATAATGTTTATTAAATAGTAATTTTAAAAGGTTTTTATACAAATCATATAAACACAGGTTTTTTTGTTTTGTTTTGTTTGTTTTTTTACACTGAAGAATCACAGTAAAAGCTCTTTAAGTCCATAAGTCCTGGCTCAGCCAGTGAACGATCAAATACCTTGAACTGCAAACCTTGGAGAAGTTTCATTTCTGCATATAATTTCTTAATGGTTTAATTCCCATGCTCACCTCCGGCACCTTCCCACACAACGAAGTCACCCAACACTACAGCCCATCAGCAACATGTCCTTGCCATAGGAAGGGTGTGGAGGCAACAGCCTGTTTAAGCAAAGGCATTAACACTGTTTTTTTTCTTTTCTGAATTTCACAGAGGGAATTGTGATCAGCAAACCATCAGCAGAGGAGGATGCAATGAATTGAATGCACTGATGACTTCCCCCTACCACCCCCCCACCCCCCGTTAAAGTTACAATCAAACACAGTTTTCCGTAGAACAGTAAAGCACCCGGCAGAGGTAAGTGAGGTATTGGCTGTGCAGCATTTTCGGCCTTCTCCCACCTGGCAAGCGCACACGTGGGCCCTGCCCCATCTGCAAGGGGCAGGTGGGACACGCAGGGTGGGCGCTTTGCTGGGCCCGTGCCACCTTAGTGCCAAGATCAGCAGTACTCTCCTGCCCCAGATCAAGAGATACATTAACACGAGTCAGTCCCACAGAATAAGTCACATACACGATACATACAGAGAATTCACGTGCGTGTGCAAACACACTATTTCTGAATATATGTATATATGAACTCTTCTCTCTGTACGCCTACTAGACACCATAACATCACCTTTTTAATTATATATTTTCACCTATTGTTTGCCTAAGTTGGCTTTTCTAGTGTATGGTCCTTTTCCATTCATCCTTCCCCTCTCCTGTGATGTGAAGGGGATAAAATCATTGAGCAGCAGCAATCCAGCTTTGAAATGGTCTGGTACATTTCCTCTCACTGCCTCTGTTTCTTTTGTACAGTAAAATAACACCCCTGTGGAATTTGTCTGCGAAGAATGCCAAAAGAAATAAGGTGATTCAAAAGGAGAATCAGAGATACATTTACTGTTTCTGTCGGGTGCACAGTGTGAATTAAAAAACCAAAGGCCTTTGTGTGTGCGCGTCTCTGCGTGTGTGTATGAACCATGGATGTTCTGATGACGCAGCTGCTGGTATCTGCTCCCCCAGTACACCTGCGTCTTTCTTACAGCAGAGAAGTCTTTTCTTTTTTTCTAAAAACTTACTGTCTGAGGGAGCTCTTCATGAAACACTAGACAAATGTTCCTATTCCCACAGTACCAAGGAGCAGCTGTGGCACTGCTCATGTGTCCATGCTCATCTCCTCTCCAGATGTTGCTCCTCTCCCCAAACACCTGGCCTCCTGCACAATGTGTTTGCAGGGGCTGGGCAAACTAAGCTTCACAGCACATCACACCTTTGTCGCTCTGGAGTTAGCAAAGAAAAAAATTCCATCCCCAACCCCAACTATTTGCCAGGTGAAACGTACAAACCAAGACACATCAGGTATTTCCAAGGAGCCCCTGAAAAAGGAAACCCAATGTGCTGGAAAGGTTTCTTCTTTACGTATGTGCAAGCTAATAGGGGTGATCAGTCTGTACTGAATTGGAAATTAGGACATTGGTTTGGGACCCAGCATTTGAATTCTTTTTCTCCATTCGTTTTCCTAATGCTCCTCTCCCACAGCACAGTGGTAAGTGGAGAAGTATCAGCTGCCAGACAGTGTAGTCAGACCACTTGAAAGTAGAAGGACCAGACTTGTTCTACTGGGCTCTACCCAGCAGAGAGTGGTGAAGAAGAGTGTTTTGCAGGGAAGGATGAAGGCCTCACTTGCTGTTTGATACAGCACTGATCATCAGATGGAGGAAAAATACTTCTTCTAAGGCACTTGTTCAAAGTAAAAAAAAGCACAGCTCATAAATAAAACTTGGGGTTTTTGCTACTGATCAGGAGCAGCGCAGCTTTGCTCCAAAGGGAATATGGCAGCAGCCGTTTGGTCCAGCGGTGCTGGTGGCACCAGTTCATGCCCCCCAGCTCCAGGGAGAAAGACAGAACTGTGAAAGTGAGGGGGGCCAGTGGGTACCATGGCCAGGCTCTACCACAGGGGCTGTGGGTACGGCTCCAGCCTCCTTCCCTGTTCATTTTCTCTCCCTGGCACTTTGGAGAGACCTTGGCACTGTACCTCAAGTCAAACCCCAAGTGAAGCCCCCTTCCCAAAGCCGTTGCCTAAGTGCCGGACACCTGACAGGCTCTATCTTTTGTTTGCTGCAATTTTCTCATTATAACAAAAAGAAAAATGGCAGGCTCAAGAGGGGTGGAAGATTCAGAGAGAGGCCTTCCTGATGAAGGCGTCAGTTGTTGCAATCAAAGATCTGGATTTAATAAATGGCTCTTATTCACAAATCACTTTAAGGCTCTTCAGCTTCTCTCAAAGAGGTGCTTCTACATATAGGGTTTCCTTTCTATTTTATTTCTTAATGATTTCAGAAAGCACTGTTGTTACCATTGACACTAAAGCCAGTATCCCACCTTTCCCCCACCATCAGGAGAAGGAAAGTTGAAGGTAACAACATACTTCCATTTTCAGGACTGCAAACTGCAGCTTCCTGTTCTTAGTGTGAAGTGCACAAATCCCTACAACAATATCTGGATGGAGTCTAAAATGGACAGGGTCTCTGCGTGTTTGTGTGTGTATGTTATTTCTAAAGAAATCCCTCAGCCTTCTCAGCAACTCACCAGAGAAAGGAGGTGGGAAATAACAATCAACATTTAGTTTCTCACATCCAAAAGGTAAACCAGTCTCCCTCACCACATCCCAGCCACTCGCATCAGCAGAAAATGAAGATGAACCAACAAACGAGGGGCTCATTACCCCCTTTGCCCAGCACAGTCTGGTTTGCAGGAAAACCCACTCAGTCCTGGCAAAGTGCAACTCGCCAGCAGGACCTGGTGGCAGGAGCAACAACTCCCCTCGTTCCCTGTTATGGCATTCAGTTCCCATAGAAAACAGCAAAAAAGTACCCCCTGCCAGCCCACCTCATGGGGCACAATGCCAAGGGTGATCCCCAGGCACCCATCAGGCCTCCGAGCAGCACTTCTGGTGGTTCATCTTGACCTTGTGCTTGATGCCATCGTACAGTTCAAAGTTGTAGTTCTCCAGCGTGGTGGAGCTCCGTGAGGACAGCCCGGCGTACGAGCACGTGCAGTAGAGGAGCAGACCAGCACAGATAGCCCCGAGGAGGACGCCCAGGGAGCTCATTGCTATAATGGTCACCAGGATGGGATCCAGGGTGTACAGCCAGCTTTTTTCTTTGTCCAGCTTCGGGGTTCCTGGAGAGTTAGTAGAGAACAGTGTGTCGTTCCTATCCGATCCAAAGTAATCTGCAGTGGAACGGGCACTTATTATCCAGGGATCACTTTTTATTCCCTCTCACCTTTACACATTACTTACTTGGAGTTGTGACAGCTTTAAAAAGGTATAAGTATATATATGAGAATATTTCAGCAGGATTCACTAAACTGGGTCTAGAAATACTGTGAAGCACTGAACTACCTAGAAAGTTAGGCACTCTTAAATCACTTTTACACATCAGACCATTTACATGGCATGCTAGCAATTTACACCCCCCGAAACTCTAGCCCTTCCAGTGCCACTGGGTTCAAAGCTATGGAAACAATCTGTCACAGTTCTCAGACTTAATTTTCTTCATTTATAAGTCAAAATGCTATGCAAGCATCAATTAATGCTTGAAAGCTCACTTTCACTTGTTCTAACACAAATACAATATATTGACCTTGCAAGGTTGCTGGCTGTTGGAAAACAGGAAAAGAAAATTAATGTCTTTGTCCAGACACTAAGCCACCTCTTCAGTGTATGTTCTTAAGTGTGTTATAGCTCCTAATACCGACTAAAGCTGAGGTTTGTGAGTAATCATAGCATCTGATACTAAAACACAAGTTGCCACAGATTGCCCATGTGGCATTTGGGTACCAACCTGGATCATTGTCTTCAAAGTCTTGCTCAGAGCTTGGAAAGTCATCCTCCATTCTTGGGAAGTTCACTAGAACAACAAGATGGGAAGCGCTGTTTGTTAAAATAGGCCTTTTTGGGGGGTATTATTGCCACTGGTCACTGGATTGAGAGACCAGCCAGAAAAAAAGTAACAGTTAAAACTACTACAATGCTCTTTCTCATGGAAGGAGGAAGAACTCTTTCTTTTCTTCCTTTGGCCAAAGTCAGTGAAGACTCTTGCACCTTTGAGAGAACGGGATCTTCCCACTACATCACATTTCATGACCACCAAATGACCAGCTTTTAAGAAGAAAAGAGAGTGAAAAGCAAAGAAACCAGACAACCTGAATAGCACTAAAATATTGTCACTGGTGCCTGCATAATGGCCATAATTCACTATTAACATACTCCTGGGTATTACCCTTACAACTTTGAATAGGATCTTAGTGCCTTTAATTACTTGCCACTAATGCTGGATCCATTTAGCACACACTCTATTTTTCATCTTTCCCCATACATTTTACTGGATACAGAGCTTCAATGATCCAGTTCCTCTTTGGGTTTCAGATAAATTCATAGTAATTTGAGGAATTCATGTATCATCATTATATGTTTTAATGCAAAAGCTGGTTGAAATTGGGAGAGAGGCAAATGGGTGTCCATATCTAGGCATTTATGTTAATATTTCTGTGATCCAAATTCCTTTTAGTGATGACATTTCTTTTTATTGTTCAGCACAGACCAGGGACTAGTAACCAAATGCACATACTATAATCTGAGCAGAAGTAAGCTATTTTCCTGTGCAGTCTTCCTAGCATTATCTCTACGTACAGAGAGATTTTTTCACTTTTTCACTTTTCCAAAAGAAAATGTCTTTTCATTTCAATCTGCCAAGACTTTTCAAAGTTGACTGTAACTTGGGGTCCTCAGCTGAGAAGGTGTCTTGAAATGATCAGGAATGCAGAAAATCAGGGACTACTAGAAAGCGATAGAAGTCACACCCTTGAAATAGTTGTGGTTGGAAACCAAGACTACTTTGCGTCTTGTGCAAAAATGGCAAGAAGAGTTTAAAGAGGTTATTTATAAACAACCAAAACCAAAGAATGTAACTTGTGACTAAAAAAACAAGTGCAAAGAAATTATTCAAAACCTTATAAGAGAATATTTCTGCATATTTGCATGGATATTTAGGACTTGAAAAGGCCCCTTGAATTTTCAAATCCATTTTTTGCTATCCCAGGCAACCATATCAGGCAATTCCTGCCAGCAACCTTTCAAGGTTCACTTCCAGGGTGGGGGGCTCTGCTGAATGCCATGCTGCCCCAACACCACCTTACACTTGACTGCAGAGATCCTCTGTGCTAGTACTAATGATACCTTGCCAAATACCCATTCCTTGGGCAGAACTGTAACAACACTCAAGGGATTAAGGGATTTCTTTGAATTTTCTAGTGAATCTGGCAACAGGAACACACCCAACCCTCCTGATGATGAGTT